CAGTCAATTCACACTTATTGAATTTAGTATATAATTTCTCCATCCAGAGTACATGAAGAACCATCCTAAGTTATTCTTCATGGCTTTTTCTATTTTTTGAATGTACCGAATGTCATCGATAACGATAATAACAGTGTGAACAATGAACTTATGATACCCATTGCGGGTTCTAAAAGTCATCTTTGGAATATCACTTGAATTCTTTGTTGACGTTGAGATTTCTCAATCATGATTATTGTATTGGTTTTTAGATATTAAAATGATGTTAAAAGATTCAAAATGTTGAAGCTGGTAGAATTGTAGATATGATTGCATCTGGAAAACCATTTTAGCTCATCATTATGTTTTTTAGAATTTCTTGCACATTCTAGGCTTCTTATGATATTTATTTAATTTGATTGAAGGATAATTTTTTCTATTAAGACTTGAGGTTTTATCTCCAAAGGTTTAACCCCATTATATATTGGTCTATATTTTGATATATAATCGATGTAGGATTTGTCTCTTAACACTTTCTAATTTTGTTAGGGAGTTAAATTCATCAATCATGTCACTTTTGAAGGCACTCCTCGACACCTTGATAAACTCAGAATCAAAATTAAACTTATAGCCACTTTTAAATTTGTTGATGAACATTTTGGATCTAACAATGACTTGAGGGGTGAACCAAGTTTTTAGGAATAGAAAATCAAATTGTCTTGTTGTTCAACTGAAGAATTATTGTTCTCTAAGTCTTAATATTAAGTCTCTTTGGGGAGTGTTTTGGAAAATAAAATCAAAAACTTGTTTTATTTTAGTTGTCTTGAAAAATATCTTTAGAAGTGAGGGTTTATTGTACGTCTAAAAACTTAAAGGAACAATTTGTATTTTATTTTGTTATTAGGGGCCAGCCTTCCTTGCTATGTAAGAAATTTGTTTTCTGCCCACCCTAAAATCGATCTCTAGCTCTATCCCTACTTTAATATTTATTTTAACGCTTCATTTAAACAATTTAGTTATTACATCTTAGTTCATTATAAAATGGGGGTGGGATGGGTGCAGTGAAGGTGGTGTATAAATGAATTATAAATAAATAAGCGGATTCACATCATTATTTGTCTTATCATAAATTTTTTTGTCTCAGCATTCTTATTCTCATTATTCTCCCAAAACCAATTTGGGAATGACAAAAACATCGTTGATCTCTTCATGCGTTAATATCTTCATGTATGTATCCAAATGCATCTCCTGCACTAGGAACAAAGGTGGCTGCACCTTTTCTAACTATGGAGGTTCTCATCCTAACTAGATGACGGATTAAACCCTACATTGTTCATATCCTCTTCAGTTCGCTCTTCTACTGGGAAATCAACTAAGCACTCTGCGAATTTTTTTGGGTTGTTGGAACAGTAGTTATAAACCATGTACTTCTTTCTAGCATCATGATATCTTCTTTGTTGATCAGGACTCAACTTCCGATCTTTACCTGCATTCCAATTATCGCATGCCTTAGGGTTAAGATTGTTGTATTTGCACCCATCAATTGAAAATCCTTGATAATGAGCAACGAAGGGTCCTTGACTCCAATCCACTGGTCCTACCCATGCAGTGCTATTCCATATGTTTGCTTCTATGTGCATGGAGTTTGATGGATAACTCACTCCTATGTTTGTGTTGTTTTTGAACACTCTTATTGGTGTCCCGTCTATAAAGAACCTATATACACAAAATCAACAAATATACACAAGTCATATGTTATCAATTAAACATCTAATCATATGAATGTCAAATGTAATATAATATGAAAATAAAAAGAGGAGGATAAAGTACTCAGTTTAGGTTAATATGTTAGGTTTGAACGCTAAATTTATATAAAAATAATAATCTTATCTCTTGTGATTTAAACTTTTAATTAAATAATGAGTGGATTCAATGAAACATAAGTAATTCATCATGTACGTACACAATGTGGTACTGGTTCCAAAAAAGTTCATATTTGTGAAAATCTGCAGTAGGATCAAACCAAAGACGAAATTGTTGCTCCCTATGTCCCTTGTCATTTGCAAACACATTTGTATTCAATCTGTAAGCCATGCGATTATGGCCTCCCAAGAACTCGAAATCAAACTCATAGTGGTTTGTTGCTTGTCCACCTACTGGGATTGAAGTTAACTACAAAATTATCAAATTAATCAGCCCAAAACGAAAACAATGTGCGGAAAACACACATAATCATCTCAAAATGTATTTAAATTACGTAAAAAGTCGTGATGATTCCTTGAGAATGATTTCCTGGTAATTTTATCATCATTCGAAAATATCCAGAACCAAAATCCTGTTTTGAATGGAATCCAGCTCCTGCATATTTAATAATTAATTAGAGCAAAGAAAAGTCCAAAAATCAGCTTGAATCCACAATCTATACCTAATATATGCAGGTTCATTTACCTATTGTCCCTTACATGAGACGTGAGGGCGTAAAACATAGAGTGCATGGGTATGTATAATCCAATCCCCTCTACGTAACACGCTAATACAGTAGAGAGAGAGAGAGAGAGAGAGAGAGAGAGAGAGAGAGAGAGAGAGAGAGAGAGATAAATACAAACCGGAGTGTTCGTCTATTAGCAGTTGGACTACCCTTCCCTGATCAAGAACAGAAAGATGATCACCACCCCACTGAGGAGAGTAGTTTTGATCAAATGGGAATTCATCAGCATATCCACAGGCAACAAAGAGAATTAGAAACAGGCTAATTGCATAGTAATCCATCGGGATTAGAATCTTCTTAATTTGTTAACGTGAATTGTTTTTTGCAGAAATAAACTCATTGACCTGCATTTAAATAGAGTATACTGGCGAAAGTTTTAAATTACTCGGCTAATTGTCCATTCAAGAGTGTTAAAAAATAGTAACAAGTACTAAGGGATGAAATACCAACTACTTGACTTCTTATTTTTGTTGTTATAATTAATGGAGTTAGTGTAACGCTGTAAGCCTGTGCAGTACTTTTTGGAAATTAACTCATTTGGTGAGATGCGGTGGTGGGGCAGTGTTGGTGGGAGAAATTGTCATTATTTTGAGAAAAACTCTCTTGTTGGTGGGGTGGTAGTGGGTTGTGTGATGGGGGTGGCAACTGTAAAAAGAAACAATCTTTAATGAAGCAAGCTGTAAACCTGTTCCAAGCATTTCAAATTGCAAAGTGTTAAGTTGAGGAGACTAATTATTATATATCTTAATTATTTTCACCTGTTGCAAGCTATTAAGGAATTTGAATCCTTTTATAATTCGATTTTGTCTTAATATATCTTATAGATAGAGAACTATATATCTTAAACTTTATTACTATCGTTGAAAAAGAAAGAAAGAGAGGTTAGAAAAGATAATAGTGTAACTTTCTCTTGTAAACCTTTTTTCGTCACGGTGAATTACTATAGTGATGGGAAATAATGTAATCTCACATTGAGGTGAACTTTTATAAATCTTATATATTCTTGAGTGTTTATTTTTTCTTCAAAAAAATTGATTGCTCTTGATGGAATAGAATTAGGATTTACAATTCTCAACATAAAATGCTTTGAAACTACTCTGGTTTTCTTTCCTCCTCAAATTGAGTACATTGTTGTCCTCTTCGAAACTCTTTCTTTACTCTTTAACTGACTAATCTCCATGAGGTCTATATATTTTTAATTGATTTAGTAATAAAAAAATAATTGAATAATTTGTATAGCTACTGAATTTAAGATATTTTACAATTGATTATATATTTCGTCCGCAAATGTACAAAACTACTTTTCCCGAAAGCTATACAAGAGGTGGCAAATATAGTTTTAGGAATAGTTTCTAGCTTCTATTTCCGGTATTTTACTTCGTTTTTTTTTTTTTCCTTTTTTCCTTTCCTTTCCTTCCTCGGGTTGTACAAGAAAATATGCCAACACATGTCATTCACATAAGAGTAGCAAGTAGGCCTTCCCCTTCTCCTTCAGTTTGTTCAAGTATCATATTGGCTCTAGTAAACCATGTCGCTGGTTACATTTGCATCATTTATGCACATTTTGAAGTTATGGTTTATCACATTTATTTTGGTTATTTTGCTTATATATTTTTTAATTGCTTCTGATGAAAATGTAAACTTCACAGACAAGATTTTCAATCTCTATTAAGCATTTAGTCTATATTTATGTAAACTTACAAGTTTACACGCATAGCAGCTCAAATCAAGACAAACACATGGATACCAGACCTTAAAAAATGAGGACAAGGAGTTATGAGTCCCAATTCTAGCTACACTTCGTGTATGTACTTAGCTGATAGAAACCATTAGTATTTTCCAGAGTTTCTAAAGAGTTTTGTCATCCAAATATATTCCAAGTGAAATGCCCCAACTTTAAAGTTTTCATATATCAGATAAGTCGACAAATATGAGGTGTAATTGATAGAATAAATTATATGTATAATTATAAACATGCAATCCATTTTAACTTTGCATATATCATTTAGTGTTACTTGATGCCACCTAGATTAATTTTTTAAATACCATTTGTGCAAAATTGCATTACTCTTTAAACAAGATGTTAAAAAGTGTGATTGTATAAATTTTTACCATGTGGATGGTAATTCTTTTGTCTTATTCTTCAAGTGAATAGTTTCATGTAGTTTTATTACTAGTTCTCACTTTCATATCAGCCTCAAAAATATGTGGTACTAAGTAAAACTAATTGACCTTAAGGATTATCATATGCTTGTTTAAATGTTTGATAAAATAAGATAAAAGAATATATATATATATATATATAGAAGTGCGCTATTATGACATGTTTAGAATGTTAGACTAACGATTTTAGCTGGACCAGAAAAGAAAATTAAGAGAATTAGCACCGTCTATTTATGCTATAAAATACTATTCCTTATTGTATTTTGGTTTATTATATAAATTATTAGTTTCTTTTAACAATTTGTTATCAAATTGCAACTAGTACAGTATTTATAACAAGAAGATTTTCGAAAATTAATAATTATTTACCTTTTTTTTTTAACCGTGGAATACAGAAATAAAAGATAAAATAAAAACTTTGAAGGGAACTGCAATGTGACCTCCAGCCAATGAATATATAAATAGTAACGAAACCTTTTTTACATTTCATGTGCTCTCGTCATGCTTTGTCTCATCATTCGTCTAGTCATAAATTTCATAGGCTCCTCATTTCCATCCTCGCCGTCCTCAATGTACTCCAGTATATGTCCATAACTGGTTTTTAAAATATCAAAGCCCTTGTCAGTCTCTCCATGTGTAGACCCAAATCCATCTCCTCTATAGTGAAAGTCATGTTCAGCCGGAGGAGAGCTGGCAGCCCCTTTCCTAAGTGTAGAGGTCGTCACCCCACCTGAATTAGATGGCAGATCAAGATGATTCACTGTACAATTATTAAAACCCATGTTATTCATATCCTCCTGAATATGCTCTTCTACTGGGAAATCAGTTAAGCACTCTGGGAAATTCTCTGGGTTCTTGGTACAGTAGTCATAAACCATGAACTTGTCTCGAACTTCTTGATAGCATCTTTGCTGATAAGGACTGAGTTTCCAATATTTCGCTGCATTCCAATAATAGGTCATGGAATAGCATGCCTCAGGATCAGAGTCGTTATACTTGCACCCGTCAATTGAAAATCCTTGATAATGAGCAATAAAGGGCCCTTGACTCCAATCCACTGGTCCAACCCATGCAGTGCTATTCCATATGCTTGCTTCTATGCGCATGGATTTTGATGGATAACTTACTCCCTTTTTTGTGTTGTTTCTGAACACTCTTATTGGTATCCCATCTATAAAGAACCTATTTACACAAAATCAACACAAATATACGAGTTATATTTTATGAATTAAAAGCCTTTCATGTAGCCCTTGTTCGAGTCTCATTTTTGCGAGAAAATGTGTTTTGAAAATTAAAAATTTAAATGGCGAGAGGATTCAACGAAATATAATATGTACATACACTATCTGGTGCTGGTTCCAAACAAGTTCGTACATGTGAAAATCTGTAGTAGGATCAAACCAAAGACTAAATTGTTGCTCCCTATGTCCATTGTCATTTGCAAACACATTGGTATTCAATTTGTAAGCCATGGGATCATTGTCTCCCAAGAACTCGAAATCAAGCTCATCATGGTTTGTTGCATCTTCAACAACTGGGACTGAAGTTAACTACAAAATTTAAATAAATTAATCAGACAAAGAGCCAAACCAATGAGAAAAATTATTATCCTAAAAAGGAGGTAATTACATAAAAAGTTGTGATGACTCCTTTTGAATTATTGCTTGGTAATTTCATCATCATTCGAAAATATCCAGAACCAAAATCCTGTTTTGATTTGAATCCAGCTCCTGCATAGTTAATAATTAATTAAAACAAAAAAAATCTCAAAATTAATTCCAAAATTCGATCCAAGATCTTTTCATAATACATTCAGATGCATCTACCGATCTTCCCTTGCATGAGAGCATAAAATCATAGTGCATGTTAATATTGTCTGGTATATAATTCATTCCTCCTTTCCAAACATGCTAACACAATCTCTGTGTGTGTGTGTGAGAGAGAGAGAGAGAAAGAGAGAGAGAGAGAGAGAGAGGGTGGGTGGGGGGGGGGCGGAGGCGGGGGGGGGGGGGCAGTTAAATAAATACCTGAGTGTTCGTCTATTAACAGTTCGACTTCCTTACCCTGATCAAGAACAATAACATGATCACCACCCCACATAGGAGAGTAGTTTTCATCAAATGGGGTTTCATCAGCATATCCACAAGCAACAAAGAGAATTAGAAACAGGCTAATTGCATTGTAATCCATCGGAATTAAAAGAATCAAATTAATGAAGTTTTTTGCTGAGATAAATTGTTATTAGAGAATTCATAAATTCGTGGACCGGCATTTAAATAGAGTACTGATTTTGGACTATAGGTACTTAGTTAATACTGTTTAGGTTGAAAGTTGCTTATAATTTGTTGACCTAAAAGTAATTAACTTGCCATGTTTGCGAATATAGGATTTGTAGAGAAAATATTGATTCTTGATTCGGTTATTAAACTCATTAGTTAGGAAATTAGTTAGTGAGTTAGAAAATCAGTTAGGAGCCTTAGATTCTAACAAGTTTTCTGGTATTAGTTTTAACTGAGTGTTACATACATTTCCTTGTATATCTCTACAAGTCCCATGCCTATAAATAGGATAGAGGGGCTATTACGTGAATGTGTGAGCAAGAGGGATGATTTTCTGTAGTTAGAGAAAGAAAGATAGTGAGAGAAAAAGTCTCTGCAACACCTCTTTGTAACTTTCTGAAAGTTTTCTGGTAGTGTCTCGTTTTTTGAGTGATGAGTGCTAGTGTTTTGTGCAAATAAAAACTCTGTAATATTCTGTTAAATGGTAGATTGACTGGGGGAAAAATTCCCTGCAGTGGTTGAAGAAATTTGTTCCAAAAAACATCAAATTCTTGTATCAAAATCTGATTCTTTGCTGGGTTTATGTTCTGCCAAGTCTTTGTCTTGTTTTCTCATGCTGTAAATCTGAATTGATCAAGCATTGAAGAGAGGAAAAATCCTAACAGGATTGTTAATTTAATAGTTTGTTGATTAATAGTAAGAGGTAGCGACTAACACGTTCCATTGCAGTTGACGTTCCGCCACAATTTATTTTATTATATTGGACCGCTGCAATATATGAATATATATAAATATTTATATATCCTTTTATTTGGTTGTGCATGATTTACATGTCGATGAACTAAGGACGAAGAGTCAATATTACAGAGGAACTTATATGTTTTTCTTGATATTCCTATCAATAACTGTTTGTGCACAATTGTACCCAATGTAATTTAGTTGTCACCTGTTTTTTTGGCATGAAGTCCATTCTTAGTATTATTAGATGCCTGTAATGTAGCTGTTATCCTAAATTCCTAACTCAAGAAAAGAAGGGCCATGTTTGTAGTTAAATTGTCGATTGAACCAAGCAATGGTGTCGTGTTTCCCTTCAAGATTTTCATTCTCTATTTTGTTTTTTCTAAATATAAATTTTCTATGCTACTATAATAAACTAATTAGTCATTGTTGATTTTCTTCTACGTAAAAATGCAGCAATTGAAATATCTATTTAAAACTTCAGCATGTCCCCAACATACGATGATGTCAAGGTTCATCAATGTTTTAATCATTGAACTTAATTTAGTACCAATATAATTACCATCCTCAAAGAGTCGATTATAACTACATTTTTCGTGACAACACCAGTTGATACAATTTTGCAAATTATCGAGCACCAAGTGAATATATCTTAAATATTAGAAAATCATACAAAGTTTTAGAGTTCAAATTTCGCCATCATTATTTACTAAAATTTTATTTTTTATAATTAACTTTTGTTTGAACTATTATTATTTTATAATTTCAGCAACATTAGTAATTTCACAATATATATCATTATAACACATAAATACTACAAATATTTTAATTTTGTATTTTCTTTCTATAAAAATAAAAAAAAAAAAGTGCTAAATAATGATGCTCCTATAATGGAGCTAGCTTTGATTTCATCTAATGCAAAAATAGTTGAACCAAACAACATTTCTACTGGACTTAACAAGTGAAGATGACAGATTTTGTACCGATGAATCTATTTGTACTCTATTTGCTTCTAAATTTCATTGTAATTCGTTTTTCAAAATCATAGTTTTACTAATATCTTTTATTTCTAATAACTAATTTGACTTTTTGAGAAAGTTTATAGCTTAAAATACAAGTTCAATATTTCAATTGGATTAATGGGTGAAAATTGAAAAGAAGCATAAATCAGAATTTGTTTTACGCAAAGTCAGCTGTGCTCTAAGTCTAACGGCCAATTTACTTGAATTTTAGGCCTGGTTTTTTAGTGCCTTTTCATGGATAGTTCAGTGTCGTTTATAAGCTATACATATGAGTTGGAGGATCAGTGTATCATACAAGAATCATTAAATTACTCAATCTTCCTCCGTGAAAACTTCAAAATTCTAAATTTCATATTCAAAGTTTTCTTGTTCCTTTGAGAACTTCACTTCATTGATTTGAGCAAATCCTTGAAAGGTTAGTCATATCCCTGAAAACTACTTTTCAAAGATCCGGAAAGCTATCCAAGAGGTGGCAAATATAGTTATGGGAAAAGTTTCTAGCTTCTATTTCCAGCATTTTACTTCACTTTTTTTTTTTTTTTTTTTCATTTTTTCCTTTCCTTCCTCGGGTTGTACCAGAAAATATTCCAACACATGTCATTCACATAGGAGTGGCAAGTAGACCTTCCCCTTCTCCTTCAGTCTGTTGAAGTATCATATTGGCTCTAGCAAACCATGTCGCTTGTTACATTTGCATCAAATTTCAGATACCATTTTTCTAGCTAGGCACTTGCTTTCGATCACATAAAACCTACTTTGTACAACTTGTTCTCCCTATCTTACAAATGCTTCAATTGCCTTGGCAGATAATTCATTTAACTCCACATGAAGAAAGGCGATCGGATTGTACCCACAGTACCCCATATGCCATTCTTATTATGCACATTTTGAAATTATGATTGATCATGTTTACTTTTGTCATTTTGGTTATGTTGCTTATATAATTTTTTAATTGTTTCTGATGAAAATGTAAACTTCGCAGACAAGATTTTCAATCTCAATTAAGCATTTAGTCTATATTTGTGTAAAGGGTAATTAGCACAAAACATTCTTACCTTTAAGGATTATTGTGAAAAACGTCCCCACTTTTCCTTTTTTGGTATTTATGCCCATATTTCCATCTTTTTGTGAAAAAAGTCCTTCCGTCCACTAACCGCCACTTGCTTCATTAATTAAGTACAAAAATACGATTTTCTTTTTAGACATCAAGGGCAAAATGGTCTCAATACATTCACACCCCTTCATCTTCTCTTACGCGCGAAGGTGCCATATCATTTTCTTCTTCCATTTTTTTCCATTCTTCTATTTGTACAAGATTTTCTCCCTTCTCCTAGCACATACTCTCATCCCATCTCGTGGCATACAGTGGAACAACAAAGTGAGAATCTATGAAAGAGCGGAGATAAGAGATATTACGGGTTGGGTATTTTTCTTTTCATTTCTCATTTTGGTGTTCTGCATGACTGTAAATATGTGTGGAGTTTTGATGCTATTTATCGTTCTTATGCAGACCTTTGAGAAGGAAAATTTTCTTTTGTTTTTGAGAAATCCCAACGACATCGACCCATTTATGGTATTGTGTTCATTCCCTAAATTTCTGGCTGAATTTATTCAATTCCACTATGCATTCACATAATTTCAGTGTCCAATTCCCCAATTTATGTCCATTGCAGTTTGATGCATTTGATGTTCCCCAATTTACTGCTTGATTTTGATGGGAACTTTATACTATTGCTTGCAGGTGCTAATTCTAAATATCTTGCCGTTGAAGTACATTATGGAGGCCAATTTTATGATAAGCCGAACAATGTGGCGTATGAAGGGGGATTTGTGCTCTTTGTCGACTTCTTCCATGGTAAATGATGCACTAGAGAGAGCTTGAGTAAATTCTAACTTGTGATCAAAGGGTGATGGAGTTTTACTATAAGAAGCAAAAAATGAGTTTAGGTAAGGGATTGACAAGATTGGAGAGTGAAGAGGATATCAAGGGAACGCTTAAGGACAAAGATGGGCATCCAGATGTAAAGATATATGTGGTAGCATTGGTGCAGTCATATGCATTGCCGTTGCATCCTTGGTCTTCACAAGTTGATGAAGACCAAATTTAAGCAAATTTATAGGGTGAGGGGTCATTTCTTTGGGTGGGATTTAATCTATAATGGACAAGTATTCACTATATCATTGGTTTAGCTTGCTATTTGACATTTATTCTTATTGGTAGCCTTTAACCATGAGATTGAAGATAGAGTTAAGAGAAAATATATCCGTTTAATCTTGTGGAAGGAGTAGGTAATCCCCAATTGATGGATGTTTAAACATTTGGTAAAATGCTAACCTTTAAGTTGATAGCTTCCTATTTTTTTTGTAAAGGCTATAGTGTCTATGTTCTTGAAACTTTTATCTTGTCATGCCTATGATTTTAAGTTTTGGCAAATAGGTAGTGATTGTTCATTCTTTTCATTTTTTCTGGCTATATATTATATTATCTGTGGAAGAGGTGATTAACTAGGACGAATGAATCTCTATCAAATCTAATTTTTGGATTGGTAAATGAATGGGCTACTTGCTTCTTGGATAATGTTGATTATTTAGTGAGGGAGAAAATGGAACTTGAAATTAAGGAATGTTTAAATTATTCTATTGGATTTCTTTTTTTTCTTTTTTTTAAAAAAACTTTAATGTATGAAGTTTTCGAGAAAATAATTATTAAAATAAAATCATATATATTTTTTAATATTTTAATTCAAATTAGTGACGAAAATAGCGACGAAAATCCATTGGTAATTATCAACGGATAGAATCGGTAGGTAATTTGCGACAAAAATTTTTTGTTGCTAATTAGTGACGGAAATAGTCGTTGATAAACACTGACGGCTTCTTCCGTCGCTAAATCACCGACAACCTAGGTAATTCATCGCTAAAATTAGCAACAGCGGTATTATCGACGGATTTTTCAACCGATTAATTCCATTTGTGAAAGTCGTTAGCGATGAAATTTAAGGTATCAGCAACGAAAATTTTCATCTTTGAAGCTGCATTGTTTTGTAGTGTACCTAGGCCTCAACCCTCTGGATCCACCAGTGTAAACAGAGGGTTGGGAGGCCAAAGAAAAATAGAAGAAAAGAGGCAAATGAGGTGGCTTCTTCAAGTCAGCCCAAGAGGTCCAGAAAGTCGAAGAATAGTGTCAATACTTCACAGACATCTTCAAAAACACCAACTAGTCAACGAAAAAGATTGGGGCTGATAATGACACATACGAAATGTGGTGGACCAGGACACAACAGGAGAAGCTGCAAAGGGGCGCCGCCTCCAGCACCTAATTAGCATTGCTCTGTCTGCCAAGTTCTCCTACTCATTTCTTTTTGCTTTTGTTTTTGTTCCTTCATTGCATAGGTAGTGGATATAGATATAATGTAGCACCTTAACAACTTATTTTTGATGTCTTTGAACTATTGGATAGATTTTAGCATAGTCAGAACATATCTTTGCTGCACAATGGATATGTATCCCTTTTGAAATGAAAAGTTGTCTCTGAAATGTTATGTTATATTTGTGGGTTGATTTTGTGTTGAGATTTTGCTTACTTGGTGGTTGAATTGTTATTAGATTTGTGTCTGAGATGCTATGATCTAATTGGTATATTTATGGAGTTTGTATTACTGTGTATAAACAGGTTGTAACAGAATAAAACAAGGATGGCTTTTACAAAGATTTTTCAAAAGTTAGGACCTTATTCACAAATACTTTTGAAAGATAGGGACGTTTGACAAAAATATATTTTAAAAGTAGGGATGTTTTAGACTAAATTATTACAACGTAGGGATTATTATCACAAAGTTTATTCCACCTTGGACAGGAGGAGTTTCATCTTCATCATTGGGCCAAATGGACCATTCACCATTGAAATCTTATAGGTACTTCACAGCAACAAATTTACACTTGTTCTTCTCAATTTACCCATTGGTTACACCCTTAATAAGCGTGAAAATGGAAATGAACATCAAGAGTTATCGACAACCCATTCAATATATATCTTCATTTATTATTTTAAATTTTTCAACAAACCACCTGTTAGAAGCCATAGTTCTGAAATACAATGTTCTTCGCCCATTTTTTCTTTATTTAATATAATAATTTCGTCCATTATTTTCATGTGGCTCCTTGGTGTTGGTTTTGGAATAACCATTTAAAGGTAGGGAGAAGAGGTGTAAATGGGTTAAGACCGTTTGCTCCTTGATATTTGAAAAGAAAATCGTATTTTTGTACTTAATTAATGGAGCAAGTGACGGTCAGTGGACGGAAGGACGTTTTTCGCAAAGAAAAGTGAAAATAGGGGCATAAAGCCAAAAAATAAGAGGTGGGAACGTTTTCCAAAATAAACCTGAAAGGTAGGAACGTTTGTGTTAATTATAAACTTATAAGTTTACACGTATAGTGGCTCAAATCAAGACAAAAACATGGATCCCAAACCTTAAAGAATAAGGACGTTAAGTTATGAGTCCCAATTCTCGCTACACTGCGTATAAGTCCTTGGCTGATAGAAACCATTATTATTTTCCGGAGTTTCTAAAGAGGTTTTGTCATCCAAATATATTCCAAGTGAAATGCCCCAACTTTAAAGTTTTCATATATCAGATAAGTCGACAAATATGAGGTGTAAGTGATAGAATAAATTATTTGTAGAAATGTGCAATCCATTTTAACTTTGCATATATCATTTAGTTTTACTTGATGCCACCTAGATTAATTTTTTTAATACCATTTGTGCAAAATTGCATTACTCTTTAAATAAGGTGTTAAAAAAATGTGATTGTATCAATTTTTGCCTAGTGGATGATTCTTCTTTTGTTTTATTCGTCGAGGGAATATTTCCATATAGTTTTATTACTAGGTCTCACTTTCATATCAGCCTTAAAAATATATGGTACTAAGTATAACTAATTGACCTTAAGGATTGTCATATGCTTGTTTAAGTATTTGCCAAAACAAAATGAAGGACACCTTTAAGCACATGATACATATAGAAATGCACTATTATCAGGGGTGAACAGAGAGGGAGGCTTGGCTTGGCTTGGCTATAACCTAGCCCAGCCCTACCCTAGTCCATAAGAAAATCGGTATCTAAAAAATGGAAATTTTAGGCCAAATTCATGGTGAAATTAAAATTTAGCCCTGGCCAAAATTAATTTTAAACCAACGAACTTCATTTTCAACCAGTACCAATTTTTAGTTATTCAAATTTATAATTTAAGATTCTACAACAATTACATATTTATTTTATTTACATTCATGATACACAAATAGTGGGTTAATTACCCCATACATCACTGAACTTTACCGAATGTTATCCAACGGGTCACTAAACTTCAAAAACTACCCGGTTAGTCACTGAACTTTCGAAAATGCAACCCCATCCATCACCCAACTAATGTCTGTTAAAAAAAACTGACGGGAATGATGACGTGGCACATTTGTGGGGCTAAATCTGGAATTGAAAACACGATTTTAACACCAAAAAAAAAAGGAAAGAAAAAGAAAAAGAACCTAAATTTGTCAAATAAAACGCCCAGACTGTCCTCACCCCTCCAAAGCCTCAAACCAACTCCCGCGAAGTTGGAATTAACCATTTCCCTTCGCCAGCCGAAAATGAGAGGCGGTGGCCATTGACAAACGTCACCTTTCCCAGCCCATAGCCACCGACAACCTGTAGTTCGTCACACTCGGTCGAAAATCGACAGTACCAAAAACCAAATCGTCGATCGGAGAAGCCCTAAAATCGCCTGCACAACCCTTTGGTCTAAGAACGGTGCTCACCCCTTTTGAACCTGTAGTCGTCTTCCCAGACCAGCAGCTCGCCTCCCCTGAACCTATACTATGGCAAATATTGAAGAACAATCAGCAGGTTAGAAATAAATTTCTCAAGCTACTGTTGAATAACTTGTTCATTAGTGTAAATTTTGGTTTTTTTTACATAGATTTATTTTTAATGAAACTGTAGTTGTTCATTTCGATGATGATGCGGACTTGAATGACTAGGACTTTAATGATTCGGACAACGATGTGTATGATGATGATGACATACTGTTCGATCATAACGTGACCAAAGGTATCGAACTGGATATGCCTCTTACAATAGAGGATGGACAAGCTCCCGAATCATATAGTTCTTCACATGCATCTTCAGAGGAGTTAAACATCAAAAGTGATTCGGAGTCAAATGAGAACAGTGGTCACCAAAAATTTCCTAAATATTATGCTGAAAATTAAAATGGGAAGAAAAAGAATCCACATCTTGAGGTTGGATTGCTGTTTTCTTCATTTGAGGAGTTGAAATCTGTTTTGAAGGATTATGCGGTGTTCAACGGAGTTGAACCTATTTTGAAGAGAAATGATAAAGACCAGGTTCATTGCGTATGTAAAGATGGATGCACTTGGACGTTGTGGGCGTCTAAGCTCCAAGGTGAAGAAACGGTTCAGATTAAAACATACGTTCCCAAGTTAGGGTTGATGCCAATGATTGCATATATCCAATTGCTTATGCAATCGTTCAGAAAGAGAACACTAGTTCCTAGAGTTGGTTTCTAATGTTGTTGTCTGAAGACGTTTCTATGGAAAACTGGTCGTCTGTCACCCTCATGAGTGATAGACAAAAAGGTTTAAGGAATGTTGTTGCTGATTTATTTCCAACAGCAAAACATAGGTTTTGTGTTCGGCATTTGTATCAAAAAAAATTTTGAAAGGACTTCAAGGGAATGTATTTAAAAGAATGTTTGTGGGGTGCTGCAAAAGCAAGCCATTTAGCGTCTTTCAAGTACTGGATGGCGAAGATGGAAGCTGTTAGCCCAGCGGCATATGGATGGTTGAATGCCAAACCACTAGCTGAGTGGAATAAGTCTCACTTTTCGGATCAGTCAAAGTGCGAGATGCTGCTTAACAACCCCTGTGAATGCTTCAACAAATTTATTCTTGAGGAGAGAGAGAAATCAATACTTGCAATGTTGATAGGCATTCAAACGAAGTTGATGCATAGAATTCAAATGAAGCGAGACAAACTCAGAAACTACAACAAATCAATATGCCCTAAAATCCAAAAGATTCTGGAAAAGCATGTTGATGCATCCCGTGAATGCATCTTGAGTTGGAATGGGGCAAATCAATATCAAGCGCAGTGTTCGGATGGTGAATATGTAGTCGATATGGAGAATCAAACTTGTGCTTGTCGAAGATGGGACATATCTAGGATTCCATGTCCACACGCAATTGCTTGCATCTTCGACAAAGGACACGAGATAAAAGATTATGTGTCTGGATGGTTTACAGTGGAAACATACAACACCATTTATGAACATGTTATGTCTCCTATGAACGGACAAGTATTGTGGCCTCAGAGTGACCAACCCCCTGTATTGCCTCCACCTTGGTACACTGCTACAAAAGGCAGAAAACAAACAAAAAGAATGAAGGGGCTTGAGAAGAATGAACCCTCTCAATCACAATCACAATCGCAGTCACAATCACGAGTGTCATTGAAGAAGAAGGGTGTTGTTTTTATGACATGCTCGACTTGTGGGGAGAAGGGGCATAACAAACGGTTCTATAAAGGGAAAGATGCAACACAAACCGGGACAGCTGCACATGAGGTAAACAAATGTACATCTACTTTTGCATTTATTATGGTGACATTAGGTTGCTTTGAAAGTCCACTTACATAAATGCACTTCTCAGGTTGACCCCCCAAATACTAAATGCTAAAAAAGGGTTAAGGATGGAAGCTAGTGTTGCCACATAATGTGCTGGATCAAGAAGATGGATGCAAGAGGTGAAGCTAGTTCTATTTTCGTCTTTGTTGTTTTGGGCTGCTGGAATGTTACTGCATAATGCTAGGATGCTAGTATGCTATAACAATATTGTCTTTTTTGTCTATTAAGTAGAACCAGTAGCTACAAAATGACAGTGTAAATTCTTTTGCTAGTGGCCATTAGCTACCTTTCCACATGTATTTGCAGTTTGTTTGTCATGTATGGCAATATTTTTGTTAGTCTCCTTTAATCTGTTTTGGTACAGCTTTCATGTAATTTTGCAATTGGTCATTCATTAAACAAATTATAACTGACATGTACAAAGCTTAACATTAAACAAATTACAAGCATTCAACTTACACCACTAGGGGGGGAAAACAGTATTATTCAATATCATCACCAACATTGGCTCTCCAAACATTTGACACCACATAGCCATACCACAGCTACAACACATTCAGCTAGCTAACCAACACTTCTCTACACCACATAACACAACATAGCCATACTACAATTGACAAACTGCACATTACAATACCAAGAATGATCATACACCTCCATTCAATTCAAATGGAGTACTCGTTGATTCACCAAGAATGAGAGACTCCAGCAACACGAGGTTTTGGAGTACTCGTTGATTCACCACTCACCAGGGCATGCACTTCCACCACTAGACTTCACAGTTTTTTTTTTATAAGGTAGACTTCCAGATTTAGCCACCACTTGTTCAATACCAACAGTGGATAGCACTCACCAACCGACACTTGCTCGCGAAATTGAGAGGTCTGCCAACTGAAAGGGATCGGACCGGTGAATACACGCTTGCGTCGTTTCTTAACTGCCATTTCAACCCCAAATTGAGGAAGACCCATATAATCAGTAGATGTATCATGATGAGTACTGGCCTGTGGTGGTGGTCCGTGATCATGAGTCCCACCACCGACGCCGAAAAAAGGGCTTGAAATTTGGGAATGCGTTGTTTTCAAACGATTGGCCTGCTGATTTCGACAAAAGCGGCTGAGCTCGGTGGCTATGGGCTGGGGAAGGCGACATTCGTGGACAGCCACCGCCTCTCATTTTCGGCTGGCGACGGGGAAGAGGGTTCCAGCCTTGGAGGAGTTGAGTTTGACAAATTTGGGGTATTGAAGGGGTGAGGACGGTCTGGGCGTTTTATTTGACGAATTTGGAGTTTTTTTGTGTTAAAATTGTGTTTTCAATTCCAGATTTACTCCCACAAACGTGCCACGTCATCACTCCCGTCA